AGTTTTATCATTAGATGAGCTAAGAGCATCCACAATGCTTTGAGTTCAATTCCAAAAAATTGTATGCCACCTAAGAAATAGACCGAGTCTAAAAAAATGTATTCTCCAATGCAAATAACAGTAGACTGGGTCCTGCTGATGTGGCACCCAGAAAAAGACCCAATTAGAGACCTAGTCTCTTTGCATTGGAGTAGATTTTGTTCATTTTACATAATTTTATTCATGTCATCCAAGACTTTAGTTTATTTACATGTCACATAGGCAAGATTAGACCCAATATATTGTAGATGAAACAAAATTATTGTTGGATGACATTTCATTTTCATATCCTCGTCTTTATTTATGGTTAGACTTTTTTAATGACTAAAATTCCCCTAATTTTTAATTTGAAAACTCCACACATTTTTTTAATTATTGTTTGGGATCTTTTATTAGCACAAAATGAGCGACGAGTGAGGCGCGAAATGTGGAATATGAGATCTGAATTGGAGAGGCCCACGTGGCGGGACTTCGGTTGCACGTCGCACTCGATTATTGCCTACGCGACCTTCATTCTCTGACTTCCACGTGGCGTAGTATGTAAATTTTGCCTAATTTATGTGTGTGTAAGATTTATTTTACAAAGTTTGTTGGTCGTCATGGGCTCCAGCCCAACTCAAATGCTTCAGGATAAAGATAGTTTTAATTCTGGTCCGAATATATGCTTCAGTCCAACAATAGTTTACATATTAAAGGCCCAGTCCAGTTAATCTGTGATTTTATAGTCTATTACTATATAATACGGAGAAGAAAAATTATTTGAACAATCCGAAAAAAATCATTTCGTTTTCCCGCTTCAATATAATGTTTTTCCCGCTTCTTCAATTCGTAATTTTCTTTTGAATTTTTTCAGCTCATGCAATTAGGTAACCAATAAAATCGAATCTTTTAGTATTCAATTTGGTAAGGTGTTCCAATTTTAGCATTCAAATCCGATTTCACTTCTTTTTTTTATGTCAATCAATCCGATTTTTTTGGTTGTTTCAAAATTTGTATAGATTTATATTTTTATTTTATTAATATATTTGAAAGAGAATCAATAAATGTTTATCATAACTTTTATTTTAAAAATAAATTTGAATAAGCATACCTTTTACTTTATATGAAATTCAAAATTACATATTTTAATATATTAATAAACGTTTATTATTTATTTTTTCCTTATGTGATATAGTAGAATTTTAGTATTAAATTTGTAAATTCAAACATTTAAAGGAAAATATTCCAAACAATTTTTTTGGGTAAATTTCATTTTATCTTGGTTTTCATTATCACATTTCTAACAAACTAATTAGTATTATATTTTTTTATCTACATTATCTAACCAAGTTTTTATGATACAATTAAATAATATCTTAACAAATTAATTATTTGTTTAACCGAATTTATCTCTCTAACAAACTTGCCAATTTTTTTAAAATTAACATGGTATGATTATTCTTATGGAGATACTTATCAATATATTAAATATTTAGAAACTTTTTTTAAAAAATGAGTTATCCCTCCTTTTACTTTATTTGAAATTCTGACGTATATTTTTATATATATTATTATTTATTTTTTTACATGTAAATATTTATTATTTAATATCTATGTGATAAATATTATTGATTTATCTCCTTAATAAATATTTATTATTTATTTTTTTCCTTACGTGATATAATGTAAATTTGGTTATTAGATTTTTAAATTCAAACATTTAAAGGAAAAGACCACGAACAAATTTTTTGGTTACATTTCATTTTATTTTAACTTTCATATAATCACAATCCTAACAAACTAATTAGTATAATATTTTTTTACCCATCGTATTTCTTAAAATATAATTAATATAACATTTTAACTATTTAATCATTTGTATAACTTGATTTAACTCATTATCAAACTTGCCTAATTTTTTTTGAAATTAAAAAAAAAATTGGAAGATTTTTATTTGTAAAATAATAAAAAATAGCTTTACTTTAAAGTCTGGATTATTTCCATTATTTTTTGTACGTTAACAATCATATATTTTGGATTATTGATTTAAAAAAACAAATCAAAACCGTAAGGTTTAATAATATTCCTTAAATAAAAAATATTGTATAAAAAAAAGTATTAAATAATATATATTTTTCATTGATTGTATTTATTTTATTTTCATAATAGACGAGATGTGAAAAATATAAATAATTATATTTAAAATAAAGTCTAAAAAATGTTTAAAATATGAACTCTTCCGTGCATCGCACGGGATATACACTAGTTCATACTTGATAGAATTAAAATAATTAAAATTTAAAGGGAAAATTAGATTATTTACCTTCAAATCTTATATGAAAATTTTAATTGAATTAAAAATGCACTAAATTTTAGAGTTTTTGAATAATTGGCTCTTGTTTTATTTTTTGTTATTGATTTTTTAAATTATATTATTTTTTTATTTATGAGTAATTTATAAAGTATCTATATATAAATTTATTTTAAATTTTGTATTTTAGTAAAAGTTTTTAAAATTATAATAAATAATTTAAATAAACAATGATAAAGGAGAATATCTAACTGTGTCTTTATCACTCTTTAGGTATAGATGTAGAGTTTTTTAAGTTTAAATGTTAATTTATGGTGCTGTAATTAAATTAACTTTATATATCAAATTTCTAGTGGTTCATAATACTTCATGAATATGATTTTTTGTTCGTGTTTTATAGTGCTTTTAAATTATAACTCTTGGTCTAACTTTAAACATATTTTGAAAATTTAAACAACTTTTTAATTGTTATCAGTTTCTAATATATGATATATCAAAATTAATCATCACTTTGCAACATAAAATTTAAATGACCTATCAGACCTAATTGGAAAATAATAAATTTATTGTTTATCAATTAAACGAAATTTATGAAACATTTTTTTATGATATGGGTTAGAAAAGATATAATTGTGTACATATCAAACTACGCTATAAAATAAAGCAACTATAATAAATTGAAAAAGTACCAACTACTTTTTCTACTAGACCAAAAGATATTTAGACCTAAAAGTAATTGACCCAACTTCAATTTTATTTCATATACTTTCAACAGACGAACAAATTCTGCATAATTTAAGCCCACATAAGTGCCAACCTAACACAAAATTATTCAAAACACACTCTTTACCACTCTTTTACAACACTTCATCACTTCACACAAAGCACCAACAAACTTATCATAGTTTAACTCCTAATTAACATTACCATAGTTCTAATCATTAATGAGGCACCTTGGGCCAGCCGTGGCGAGTTTGTCGATAAGCGCTAGCGCGTTACTCGTCATGTACGTGACATTCGAAACCCGATTCACGATTGACCTAACACGCTTTCCTTTTCCTCCCTCAGAAAACCCATCCATGCAAGTGTCCTCGTCCGTGAGAGCCGCGCTAACCCAAGTAGCTACATCATCCACTTGGCTACTGAACTCCCGAGCGCTAAGCTTTCGAAGCACGTAAAGCGACTTGTGCAAGTTATCGAGAGCGTCTCCAAAACACTCGATGCAGTCAGACAAGGCAACTTTGTTCCTTCCCCTCATCGTCCGATTACTTCTATTCAGTGTCGACAAGTATAGCGCGACCTTCTTGGCTTCACCTATTGTAACCGACACACTGGCCCGGGCCCACCGACTAGGGCTTTGTCCGGCTGTTCTCGAGAATGAGGACAGAGAGTGAATGCAGAGATCTGGATAGTGTGTCACACTGCAGATTTCACGGATATAGCCATTATTCGTGTCGTCAATTTCAGAAGCCGAAGAGCACGAAAATATCGATAGTAGTAGCATTAATACTTTGAATCGAACCATGACTAAAAACAAGAATCGAAGGACAATCAAGAAATGTTAATAAGGTTGGCAAATGAGATGTTATAAGGGGTGTTAGAATATGAGAGGAGCTAGGGCTTAAGTAAAAAATATGATCTTCTTAAAGGGGTTGCCATTGGACAAGTTGGAAAAAGGTCATGAAGAAGTTTGTTGGGACAAGAGCAAGAAGGTGGTGAATGCAATAAAGGCCATCAGTAAAAAGGGTGAGAGTTCTTTAGTATGATGTAATGAGGTCATGTGAATTAAAATTGGAAGTTAGGTGTGATTTTCATGAGTCCCATATAGGGGCTTTGTGAATTGATCTCACAAAATATGTCTCATCATAAAAAGGTAAGAGTAAAGAAACGAGTAGGACTCTTCAAAACAGAAAAACAAAAACACTATAGATTAGAGCAATTGACCACACAACACAAATATGTATCTTATCTTCAAAGGAATGTTGACAATGTTAATGAATACAATTATAATTAAGTGCCCCGAAAGTCTAAACTCTTTTTAGTTTTTAGAAAGTTTAGTTAGATGCAATAATTCCTAAAACTATAATTTTTTTTAATCACGTAAAACCTTAAAATAAATATTAGATATATTGACTTTTATTTTTTTACATAGTTAAAAATTTAAATTGTGCCCATTCGTTTGAGATGTCTACGCCTGTCCATGATTCGGAATACCACTACTTGTATTTCAATATGAACATAAAATATCGCTATTCTTTCACTATACTCCTCGGATATATGATGGATTTATATTATACAAATCATAATAAAATTTGAAGCCAACCTTTTCATCCCTTGTCATTCAAGTACAATAAAGTGGGGAGAGAGTGATATGAATGTGAGGAGATGGATATGATTTGATCCATATTTTACGTTATATATTTACCCATAAATTCTTATTTTTTTACATATTTATGAAGTTTTTATTTTTAATTGAAAATATATTAACTGATTGATTTCTGACTTATTTTCTTCACTGGCTTCTAAATTGCATTTTTTTTAGTTTATGGCCCGTTGTCTTTGTATAATTTTATTTTGAGTGTTTTGTATTTAAAAATAAAAAATAACTAAGAAAGTGCATTAAACATATAAATGATCATTTTCCTTTACTAGAAGGCCATCTCGTTGTCATTGTGTCCATCTCAATCTGGGCCAGATGCGGCAAAGAGAACTTGGGCCTTTAGCGAACACAAACCAAAAGACGGCCCTAAAACCCTAATTCACAAAACCTTGAACGCCATTCTCTCTGCTGTTTATGCAATTACCACTCTCAGCGTTTCGATTTCCAGCTAGAAGCCATGGCACGATTTCGAAATGTAAGCATCGGATCACTGTATTTTTTTTTTTCCCGACGAGCTTCTGTTTTGATTATCTCGCAAGTTCGTAATGGGTTTTGGTAAATTTTTATTTTTTTCTGCTGTGTGAATGTTTGATTTTTCCAGAAAAAGAGAACACCGTTTGTGAGGCCGATTGCCAGGAAGCAGCCCACCGTAGACCACGTTACAGGTGATAAAATCCCCAAGAGCTTCGTCTTCTGTCGGGGGAAGCTTCCCGGCCCTCTCAGGCAGTTGGAATTGGATTTAAGAAAATTAATGCTTCCTTACACTGCTCTAAAGCTCAAGGTGTGTTTTTTCGCGCCCGCGCGTGTGTGTTTTGTGCCTTTTGTGCGTTTTAGAAATTGTATGTTATGTAATGAAGATGAAACTGGGAGATGCTTTACATGGAGTTTAGTTCGAGAGCTCTGTTCTTTAGCTGCTGTTTTTCAGTTGGGAATATGCAGATAATTTACATACATGAACATAAACACATACATACTGCCCATGATAGATTAGTCGAATTAAAGAATTCCTGCAAAAACTATATATTTGCATTTCTTACATTACAAGACTGGTTTTTGTCTTGTATATATCATTTTGTAGGAAAAAAAGCGTAACAATATCAAAGATTTCTTGAATGTTGCGGGGCCAATGGGTGTCACGCATTTCCTCATCTTATCAAAAACCGAGACCTCACCCTACCTGAGGGTGGCTAGAACGCCACAGGGCCCAACTCTTACTTTCAAGATTCATAAATATTCGCTGGCTACTGATATTGCTCGGTCTCAATTGCGTCCAAGAATCCCGAAAGACCTCTTCAAGAACCCCCCGTTGGTAATTGTCCGTTATGCCCTGCATTTACCTTTTTCTTTGTAGCTTATGTGAAGATAGCTTAGGGTGTTATTACTTATTAGCATTCTGTTTCTAAAGTTATCTTCTAAGAGTGTAACTTCGCTGTAAAGCATGCAAAACCGAGCTTAATGGTTTAAAACCTGCAGATTGTGCTTTCTGGTTTTGGGACTGGAGAACAACATCTAAAGCTTACGACTATTATGTTTCAGAACATATTTCCAGCCATTGATATAAACACTGTAAGGCTTTTGGGTCCTCTGGCCTGTTTTTTTATAGCTTCTGGGAGTGTCCTGTTTGTTGAGTTATGATCATCTTCGATTTGTTGCAGGTCAAGGTTTCATCGTGCCAAAGGATTGTGTTGCTTAATTACAATAAGGATACAAAGCTTATTGATTTTCGACACTACTCAATCAGGTTACAGCCTGTGGGGGTATCCCGGAGAATACGGAAGTTTGTGCAGAACCATCAGGTGCCTGATTTAAGGAATCTTAAGGATGTCAGTGATTTTGTTACAAAGTACGATCTCTCTCTCTCTCTCTCTCTCTCTCTCTCTCTGTGTGTGTGTGTGCGCGTGTGTGTGTGTGTTGTAAGGCTCTGTTTACTAAAACAATGAGGGTAGAGTATTGAAATTTTATTTTTTATTGGAAGTTTTTCTTAGTGATACCGGTTTTTCATTTCAAATGACATAAAGTCTGTCTTGTGTTCTAAATAATTATTCTCATTTGCTTAGATAGTTTTCTTGCCATCAATAGAGAATTATGTTCCCTTTATTTTTTTTATTTTTATTTTTTTTTATTTTTTTTGTGTGTGTGTGTAATGGTTCTTATTTTTGCTCTATGAAGGGCTGGTTATGGCTCTGAAAGTGAAATGGATGATGAAGCAGCAACTGTAAGTCTGCCAATGGATCTTGATAGAGTTAATCGAGCATCAAATAAAAGTGCTGTGAAGCTTCAAGAAATTGGACCGAGAATGACCCTTCAACTCATGAAAATTGAGGAAGGATTGTGTACTGGTGGAGTTATATTCAGTGAATTCGGTATGAAAAAGATTTTTTTTTTTTTTTATCGTTTTGGTTGGTTGGCTGTTGAATTTTAAATAAAAATGAATTCTCTCGGTGTATGTCTCGTCTATAGTTTGAGTATGGTCATATTATGTTCATTCACTTGATTATGAATTTAGCTTTTACATTTAAGCCATTTTCATTTGTTTTCTTCCATTTTCTTCTCCATGAATGTTTATAGTTTATAATTTTAGTATGGTTATATTATGTTCATGCACTTGATTATGATTTTAGCTTTTACATTTAAGCTGTTTTCATTTGTTATCTTCCATTTTCTTCTCCCTTAATGTTTATAAGTATCATTAACGTTGAGTGTCTTATTAATTGTTATTTATTAATATTCAGGGGATAATTCATCAGGCAGTAACCAGAAAACCGTTGATGAAGAGCAAAAACATGAAGAAAACGATGAAGAAGAAGAAGATGAGGAAGAACAAGATGATGATGATTAATTTTGCTCACATGTCCATTTGTACCTTTAAGATCACATTTTAAATGGCCACTTTCTTCTACATTTTCCAATGCACGTTGTTATGTACCTTATCTGTTTGAGCTTATAGTGTTTTAAACCAGGTGCAAAACAAATTTATTGTTATTGACTTAATGTAACGAGGAAAAGCTCGCGAATCATTTTTTTTTTTTTTTCTCCAACTTCTAATAAAAACAGATATAAGTATTTGATGTATACAATTGATAATTTGTTTACTAGCAAAATAAATAGATAAATTCAGGAGGCAGATAGAATGAAAATAAAATGTGAAACATTACAATGAACCGGAAAATGTAGCATTAAAATTAGAAGACTTGAGCCTAGCGCAAAATTTGAATATCTAAAGAAAAAAACATTACTAGCAATGACTACAAATCGAAATAAATCCAACATCCACAAGCGTTTTACAATTCAACTCATCACACAACTGATTATTCTTCACCACACAAGCATTTTACAATTCAACTCATCACGAAATTGATTATTCTACGGACAATGCCTTTGTATAGCAAAGAAAATGACACCAAAAAAAAAAAAACAATCAAAACTTTCTAGCGTGAGACAAATCGAGCTCGAGCCTCTCCTTATGTTTCCTAATGAATGATGTTTTGTGGTACTTTTACGCAGATTTCTTCAGAAGCGCTTCAGATGGAACCTCCAGAGTGGCTCCAGCATGCTCTTTTCCGGGCTTTACCTCTGCAAGCAACATAATTTTTTATGTAAATATACTCGCAGGATCATGTGGCATCATAGATATCAAAAAAGTAAAAGTTAAAGACGAACGTAATTTTAATCAATCCTCTTCTTGATAAATCCTTGTAGCATCAATTATCCGATCATAAAGTATGAAGTGAGACCATGAAATGCACGGTGCACAGCATGGATAAGTAATTGAGATTCACATGGAGAAAAATGGGGATTCAAAACAAGAAAATGTGCTCAAATTAAGAACTTCGCAAAAAATTCTGTTATCAAGAAGAGGATTTTGCAAAGCAAAGTGATCCAATGAAGAAAGAAATGAACTATATGTTGATTTTACAAAAAGAAATGCACACGCATGTCTATTTGCAAGTCTAAGAAGTGTACAACAATTGAGTGGGGGGAGAAATGGAAATTAAACTTGTATCCATTTAGGAAATGGCACACCAATCAAGCACAAGGCAAGTTAAATAAATTAGCTTAAGCTATCCAATGCTTATGTAACTATGATGAGGAGCAGGCGTTCAGCCAGACTAAAAAGCAGCTCTTTCAAGGCCCCAATGGTGAAGTGATAGTTTAAATTATTTAAATTCACCAATGTGCCTAATAGTGTTCTTTATAGGCTTTGATTTCACGCATAATCATTTCAGTTCCTTCAAATACATGAAAACACATGATCCTCAGCTGATTGCATGTTTTTCGTTTATGAACCTAATGAAAGGCGAATTTGAGGAAAATAGATTACTTCAGCTCGTCAAAAAAGGCACAAGAAAAGCAACAATTTTGACAGAACATGACGAACCCCATCATGCTGGAATCACGCGAAAACAAGAGAATGAGATGCATCAATTCCCAACCCTAAAAGTACCAATAGCTACCTCATTTCCCAATCAATCTTCACAGGAAATTGATCAAACACTTGGCACGCACAATCAAATCATTAAAGCTATACCCAACAAAAGGAATTACAGAGGAACAGCTAGAAAAGGGTTCGAGTCTTCGAGATGGCATACCGTAGCCGCCGCGTTCGTTGAGCTTGGCTTGGACGATCATGGTCGAGATGAAGTGGGAAGCCTCACGCGCCTCCTCGAGGAGGCGGCCGCGGTCGGCGGGGGAGGTGACGTGGCGGTTCTCCTCGAATTTCTTGCGGACTTCCGCGGCGGACTCTCGGAGCATTACTGTGTCGCCGGCGAAGGTCCTTCGCGTGGCTCTCAGCACCGCTCTGTAAGCCTGAATTGCTTCGCTCCCCATCTTCACTCTATACGTCACACTGGGATTTACCTGCTAGGGAACTTATATTTATACTGGAAGCTATTATTGATATTTAATGGAAAACGAAGGATTGGGTTTTTTATTTATTCAAATTTATACATATTTTTATCAAGCTAGTGTTCCAAATTGATCGTCTAAAAAATTTTGGATTTTGCTCGTGTCAAAATTTCGAGATATTTCAATGGGATAAATATAAAATATGTTATTTTATTTTCGTGTCGAATTTTGAGATTTTTTAATCGTTTAAATATAAAATATGTTATGCTAATCTTGTGTCACATTAATGTACATTCGTGTAGAGCAGAATATCAATTTGTGTTAATGATACAAAATCCAATAATTCATTTCAACTTAGTTCATTTTATTTTGACACAAAATCCAAAATCCATTTCAACTCACCAATATTGCTTGGACGTGTCCCAAAAATCTTTAAAAAATTGTCAAAATACAAATTCTTATGTGCATCAGATACTCAACAGTACAAAAAATCCATTAATAGTCAGAATGTAACATAAATTGTTGATTTGAATGATTTAATAATTCACTGTTTATAAAATGGTTGATTTGAATGATTTATTTTTTGGTTGATATCAAATGACCGAATATTTGTAAAAAATTTCAAGAATTATAATAAACATGTAAAATGAGAGAATACCATACACAGATTCAACAGTAACAACAAAAACAAGAAAAAGTAATTAGCCAAAAGGAAAGTTTTAATAGTCATCAGAATGTAACACAACACTATACATGCAAAAGATATTATATATCCATAAACCCACCTGCAAATGCAATGGGCAGCAGCCATGAACTAATAAATATGGAAAGCACAAATCCAAACCACTTCAAAATTCATAATTAGCAGCCTTTGTCTTTAACTTTAATACAATTCGAACCTTCTCGAGGCATGTTACTCTCCCGACTCGTCTTGTAAATGCTGGCGGAGTAAAGTTGTGTAGTTGCCAAACTGAAGGTCTGTGGGAGGATACAGATCGAAAATATACGAAACGGGCTTCGACTCTAACATTGACTTTTTGGTGGTCAACTCATCTAACAGCTTCCCGAAGCTCGACTCGTCAAATGGGACCGATGCTTTAAGTACGAAAAAACTGTCCCTGGCCAGTTTTTCCACCTGATAGAAACAATAATAAGTAACAAGAATGGTGGTATTTTCAACAATATCCTCTATCGATGAAGCAATTTCTCATATACAGAGATTAACTTCATGATGGTCCTTTCGATTCTTGAAGAATGTTTGGGCAAAATGTTCTGGCAAAAATGCATTTTTGCCATATATTTTAGTCATGTTGGTTTAACGTCATAGCAATTTTAGTCCTAAGTTCGAACTTTTCGCCTTTTGATCTTATCATTTAATATTTTGCTGCAATTTCAGTCGTCTGGAGGATTAAAATTGCAACAAAATTTCAAATTACAGGACTGAAATTGCAACAATATTTTAAATTATGGGACATAAATTGCTAATAAATTTACAAATTTGTTGCAATTTCGGTCTATTGAGGCAATATATTAAATCACATGACCAAAAGGCGAAAAATTAGAATCTTGGGACTAACATTTGCTATGAACATAGTAGAACTAAAAATACAATATTTATAGGACTTAAATTGCTAATAAATTTGGGAATTTGTTGCTATTTCANCTCAAATTGCTGTAAAGTAAATCAGGGGACAATAAGGTGAAATGTTAGGGCTTGCTTGTTTATGAATTATTTTATTTACCTTTATTTCATACTCAAAATTTAACTCAAATTTAATCCAACTCCACTATCTTTAATATTATTCGTATAATCAAATAATACAAAGCAATCATTCTTACACATCACATCAACTTTAATTCACTATTCATCCATTCACATAATTTTAACTACCTATCATTTCCAATCATTTATTTCCTACTTTTACATCAAATCAATTTTAATCATTTTATTTTAGATATTATTTTAATACATTTTTAAAATTCCACTAACAACTAACCATACTACATTTATCAAAATTAACTATAGTTAACAAAAATAACTCATTTTGAATAAATTATTTCATAACCAATCGAGCCCTTAGAATCTTGGGACTAAATTGCTATCACGTGAACCAACAGAAATTTAGCCTAAGGGGACTATGTTGAAAATGAAAATGTTCGCCTCGAAGAAGAAAAGAAAAAAGTTGATTTTTCTGTACCTGTAATCTTGAAAAACGAATATTGTTCATGGTGAGAACAACTTGCACTTCATGAAGTGCATCCGCCAAAATGCGAATTGCAAGACAATTGAAGAAAGCTCGTATCACGCTCTTCAGTTGTCCTTCATCGTCATCACCAAACCTAGGAAACCACAACGCGCACTTCACGTCATTCCACGGGACAACGTTGTCTTTATCCTTGGATAGGATTGTCTGATAAGGGTGGCCAAGCCCCCAAATGACGTTTATGCCCCTGAGAGAAGAGTCGAGCGGGAAAGCATTCACTTGAGAAGTGGTGGAGATTATAGAAGACGGGTTGTATTCACGGGCGAGATTCGAGGAGAAATGAAGATTTGGGTCGTCAAGTATCAGCACTTTTCCGTACGAAGGATTGGGAAAGAATTGAAAAAGGGATTCGGGACAAATATCCCCATCTTCCGGGGAGCACAAACCGGGTTCTTTAGCTGATGTGGTGGGCAATTCGGAATCGTGAGAAAAGAAACACGAGTCTCCATTTCGGCATCCCTGTCGAAAAATGCATCAAAGTATTTGAATTTTATTCCATATGGTGATCTTTTTGTAATTAATACTTAAAATAAATTGGAATAAAAGAGCAATTTTTTATCTAATTGTGAATCCAACATAAGCTATTGAAACAAGGCCTTGTGGGAAGGCTTTCAGTATTTGTTGCATTATGGTTTTAAACATGGTTTTGGATCTAAAAACTAAAGATAGTGAAAAGAAAAGGCAAAGGCCAATGGAAGTCAAAGTTTCATCTTTACATTGTATTATGTGAAGTAGGGTTGTAAACATATGAAACATTTTCGATTCGATTCGTGATTCGATTCGGTATTCGTGGTTCGTATTCGTAAAAATTTGAATCCGAATCCAAATATGCATGTATTTGATTCGAAATTATCGAATATTCAGTTCGTTAATAATAATTATATATAAGTTTAGTATATTATATATAATATAAGATTTTATTTATGTAATATATATAAATATATCAAATATAAATATAGAACATAAAAAATATATTTATATTTAAGAAAGCATATTTAATTTATTTAAAAAAATTCTATTTAAAAATATATATTATATTAAAAAATATAAATAATTTTCAAAAACAAATTTCAAATCGAATCGAATATATTCGCTTATCTTAGTCTAAACAAATACGAACCACAAAATTAAATTCGAAAACGAATCGAATACGAATACGAATAGTCGAATATTTGTCACGAATTCGAAGCGAACAGTCGAGTATTCGCTACAATTCGATTCGTTTACAACCCATAAAAGTCATTCAGGGATTTTTTCTAAAGCAAATCAGCATATCATGAAACAACAAAATGAATTCTGATCCCTCATGACTACAAGTAAAATGTTTCGTAATGAATCAAAAAATATAATAAATCAAGACATTCTCCAATTGATAGGGATGCCGAAAAAAAGTAGAATAGGTACCTGCAAAGATAAAAAGAATTTGCAAACAGGCTTCTTTGCTTGAAGTGAATGAGAAAAAGGGCAGTGAGTTCCCCTGTTGCATAAACCCTTCACAAAATATCTACACAGTGCCGCACCTCCTAAAGTCCCGTGTCCATTTTCAAAAGTTTGCATATTCGGCTTACTCGGTACAACCCCAGCAAGTTGAATTCTCATCTAATCTCACATAAAATAAATAAATAAATAAAAATTAGAAACAATGCATCAAGTTCATTTCAGAAGAAAACCGATATCTTGAGAACTATAAAGTACCTCTTTTACGATAGATGCAAACTTTGTCGCCAGCTCATCTTTCAGAAAATCGTAGGGCCCCACAAATGGTACAGCAACACATTCCTTAGATTCCTCGTCATCATCAACTCCATCTGCTAGAGCTAAACCATCAGCTTCGTGATTCGGTAGGCCCTTAAGCAGACATGTATGCTGAAACTCGTACGGTTCATAATGAGCGGGTGGCCCATTGGATATAACTAGACACTTTGGTCGAAATCGATGCAGGGTATTTAGTATATCATCATCTGCCACGTATGAAGGTTTAATTACAAAAAAAAATACTACTTAAATAAAGTTTAGCAAAATCACCAAAAAAGAAAGTTAGCTTTCCAAAATTAAGAATATTTCGACAATGGCTTGTCTCTTTCACAAATCATCCGTAAGAAGAGGTAAAATTTTCGTTGAATAATAAGTATTACATATTATTAATGCTTAAACAGATCGTACATGTTTCAATAATTTGTTCGAGGGCAGGCATGACAAGTTTGTGAAATGAGCACCATTCTTCCTCGATTTTTTGAAATATTCGCGTATCTTCTGGTTCATCAAGCTTGAACAGTTGAGTGAGCCGCCACTTGTCCTATATATATAACATCAAATAAGGATATAATTGTAGAAAATAATGTCAAACATCACATGCTTAATACAAAATTTGTGGAAAAAAAAAGAAAAAAAAAAAGAAATAACTCACTTTGAAAGTGCGCTGCCAAAATTGAAACGCGCAAAAGTTGGCCATATATAGAACCTCCTTTCTACCAAGCCCAGTAATCTTACTAGCTCCATTATAATAATAATCAGTGTACTCCAAGGACTAAACAAATCAAGAAAATCCAGTCAGTCAATTATTCGAAATGTCAGTATAAATTATAAATTCAAACAAAAAACCAGATGCCACCTGATTGTCCTGACCGAAAAGACGCAATATAGGCAGAGGCTGAAGATCCATCAATATACCAAAAAGTATGCCTTCACGTATCATTCCGATTTCTCCAAACTTAAGAATTAGTACAGAGGCATCAAATGATAAAGAGAAACTCGCTAACAAGCGTCCATAAAAGGTAGGCTCATAACGTGACCTAGAAGACCCCTTTTCCAGAGTACGCATTTGAACAAGCAAATCTAGTGCATCCTCAACAACATCAGGATCGGGTGGATCCATTGCCTTCTGCAGTAATGCTATGAAAATAAAAAAGAAAATAGTATTT